TCACCCCACAGAACCACCAAACCCCACCCTTTGGTATGCATCTGTGTGTGACAGTACAACTGCTTGGATGAGAAAGAGTCAGGGGGGTGGGGGTGGGATAGAGGGTGTGTATGTGGTTGTTGGGATGTGTGGAGAGGAAATTTTGAGGGCGCCGGAAAGTGAGTATGCGAGTTGGCGAGAGTGTGTGAGGGATGGTGAGGTAGGGTGTGGGGTCGTGTGAGTTAGTGTGAGAGTATGTATTCGATGGTTAGGTAGAATGTGGAAGTGTGTATTAGATGGTGAGGTAGAGTTTTGGAGTGTGTATTAGATGGTGAGGTAGAGTTTTGGAGTGTGTATTAGATGGTGAGGTAGAGTTTTGGAGTGTGTATTAGATGGTGAGGTAGAGTTTTGGAGTGTGTATTAGATGGTAATGTAGAGTGTGGGAGTGTGATGGTATGTATTAGATGGTGAGGTAGAGTGTGTGATTGTGTGTATTAGTCGGTGAAGTAGAGTGTGATTGTGTGTATTAGATGGTGAGGTAGAGTGTGATGGTGTGTATTAGATGGTGAGGTAAAGTGTGGGAGTGTGTATTAGACGATGAGGTAGAATGTGTGAGTGTGTATTAGATGGTGAGGTAGAGTGTGTGAGTGTGAGAGTGTGTATTAAATGGTGAGGTAGAGCGTGTGTGTATTAGATGGTGAGGTAAATGTGGGAGTGTGCATTAGACGATGAGGTAGAATGTGAGAGTGTGTTTTAGATGGTGAGGTAAAGTGTGTGAGTGTAATATCAATCAGGCAGTTGTGAGTTGATAACGCCCGAGGGTCCCCCCCCCCCTCTCCTTTTAACAGACCTAATGAAACCATTTTTGTCTTGCCCTCGTAGCTGACGAGTTGGCGATATTGACGTAATGGACCTTAGTGCTTGACCTAATGCAATAATGCAAGGATTCTCACAGTGACAAAGTGGACCAAATGCAAGGATTCTCATCAGTGTTTCTTCCAGACTTTTTTCTCCGGGGGGGGGGGGGTGGGTGGGGGGGGGCACTTGATATTTTTGGGTGGGGGAGCGGTTTACATTCTCCGGGGGGGGGGGGGGCGAACACTAGTGAAATAATATGTTTACTATATAAATTCCATTCCGGGGAGGGTGGGGGGTTCCGTCCCCCCCCCCCGAAAAGATGCTTGGAAGAAACTCTGATTCTCATAGTGACAAATCGGACCTAATGCAAGTATTCTCACAGTGACACATTGGACGTGGTGCAAGGATTCTCACAGTAACGTAATTGACCTAGTCTAATGCAAGGATACCCACTTTAGAGTAGTAAACCTTATATGAGCATTCCATTGTATGGGATGATAAGTCTTATTGATTGACCAAGGATTTTCGGGTGTTAGAACTGACCAACGTACAAGGACAATAATGGACATAGGTCCTTGACCTACGCAAAAGTAATGTTAAATAATATGTTTTAGCTAAAGTTGAGTCACTTTAACATATAAGCTAAGGCAGTGGTTCTAAACCTTTTTGGAGGTACCGAACCCCACCAGTTTCATATGCGCATTCACCGAACCATCCTTAATAATTTCATCGTCCGCATTGACAAAATCAAAGAAGTCTGGCATCTGTCTTGCCCTCCACCGAACCCCCTGAGAATGACTCACCGAAACCCAGGGGCTCGATTGAACCCAGGTTAAGAACCACTGGCCTAAGTGCTAGTAAAACTGTTTTAACAATTCAGGTGTATAGTGATGTAAGCGAAGCGTCACGAAAAATGTGTTTTCACTTACTGAAACCTGACTCCAGCCAGCGACGCGAACCAAAGACGTTTTGTGACTCGGGTGAGTAAGGCGCCTCCCCCGAGGGGCGGGCTGCATTCTCCTACAGCGGCTGACTCCTTTCATAACAAGGCTAATCGTCGCGCCCAAGGGGAGACGATTCTCCGTAAATAAATCATGAGTTATCCAACACCGATAAAACGGGTATCAGTTGCAGATGAGTGCAGGGGTTTCGGGTTATATTAGCGGGTACGGTTTCCGTTGCTGGGTTTGATGGGGGTGGTCGGGGGGGGGGGGGGGGGCTGCTCACTATTGTTGTTAATGTTTTGTTTTGTCTGGGGGTCGGTGTGTGAGGGACGGTGTGAGGGACGGTGTGTGAGGGTCGGTGTGTGAGGGACAGTGTTTGAGGGACGGTGTGTGAGGGACGGTGTGAGGGACGGTGTGTGAGGGTCGGTGTGTGAGGGACGGTGTGTGAGGGTCGGTATTTTCGGATCAATGTATGAGGGACGGTGTGTTAGGGTCGGTGTGTGAGGGTTGGTGTGTGAGGGTCAATGTGTGAGGGACGTTGTGTGAGGGACGGTGTGAGGGACGGTGTGTGAGGGACGGTGTGTGAGGGTCGGTGTGTGAGGGAAGGTGTGTGAGGGTCGGTGTGTGAGGGTCAATGTTTGAGGGACGGTGTGTGAGGGTCGGTGTTTGTGTGGGTCGGGATGTGAGGGAATGTGTGTGAGGGAAGGTGTCTGTGGGTGGTTTTCACGTGGAGTGTATATTAATCCAAGTTTCGTTAACTTTTCATGCGGCTATTAGATGAAGCAGGTCAATATTTATGTGAAATAAGATAAGCAGGACAAAAATGTGGAATTTGAAATATTAATAAAGGTCAATCATAGATAGGCGCTTTTTTTTCCTCTCGAGATTATCAATATCCACGTCTGTGAATTTATTGCCCGACAGCAAAATGCTAATGTTATGGTTAGGATTATCCAAGCAAGGTAATCATAAAAACTAGTGGATTAATTTGAGTTTGGAAAGTAAACCTTATAGTGTAAAGACACAGTAATATCTTGTAGCTTTGCGTGAACAGGACAACCCGTTCATTTGACAACCCGTTCATTAGACAACCCGTTTATTAATTAGACAACCCGTTCATTGGACAACCCGTTCATTGGACAACCCATTCATTTGACAAGCCGTTTATTAATTAGACAACCCGTTCATTGGACAACCCATTCAGTTGACAACCCATTTATTAATTAGACAACCCGTTCATTGGACAACCCATTCATTTGACAATCGATTCATTCAGAAGTGTATCAGAACGTAAGCCTACAAGCCAGATAATATTAACAAACATCTAGTGTTATGTGTCTATTATCACCTCTGTTGATTTACGACTCTGGTGGATTCGAACTCTGCCTATGAGCGTGTTGATGTTCTCCCCTCCTCACCCCAACCCTCCGTGTACCTGTTCCCGCAAGACATCAAACACACCTGTACACAGCAGGTAAGGATTCAGGTAAAACTTAACACTGACGCTTTCACGACCAGTCAGAACCACCGGGGCAAAGTAAAAAAAAATCGAACATCGATCATTAATCAATCACCTCGGTGAATTAATAAGTCATTGCTTCACGTGATTTCCCCCCCCCCCTTCCCCTCCCACACACCCCTAACACACACCTACACACCAAATTTTCTCTGTACTTTAAATCACACTATTACTTCGGAGCAAATCAACGACAAAAGATTGCTCAATTTGACTAGGTAAAATTGACTTTCAAAACATGACTATTTTAAATGTGACTTTCAATTATGAATTATCGAACATGACTTTGGAAGCAAAAATGTGTGATGCGAATGTTAACTCGACAAATGTAACATGACTTAATTTGACAAAAAGTCACTTAATAAAATCCGGCTAGACAAATATGACTTGACAATATGTGTCTGTTATTTCCGCCACCGCTCGTCCTAATTTAGAAAAAAACGTCCAATCAACTATAATTAAATATAGCACAAATTAATATTTAAAAACATGATCGCGTATTGGTAGACCCACTCTCTGTGTAATTAACTATTGTAATTAAGCTTTGTCCATCAGTTACAGTAACAAAGTATGTAGCCTGTTTTAGTAAATTATGGTATAAAAAATTAAAATCGTGTGTTGATATTAGGTTAAATATAGACACAGTGACGTGATAGAACCTATTATGTGTAACCCGTGATGACGTTTTCCCTTTCACGAGCATTGTCGAGGGTGATAACTCGATGCGTGAGCTGATTAAAATGTAATCAACACAGCGAGCCCTTGCTTTCTTACACAACACGGTGCATCAGTGCAGAGGCGTGGCGACCCCTAGCGGTGAGAAACACCTCGACGTCAGAGTAATTATGAGCTGTTTTTAAAGGATAAAGTAATAATTACAGCCACAGATGTTGTGATGTTTAATTACAGCACGTAATGTAAGGAGGGTGGGAGGGTTGTGTGAGTCATTAAAGTCTAATACTCATTTTTTTCACAAAGGGAGATAAGCGTGAGACATAAGCCATGACGTGGCGAGATGGGTTTTTTAGATTGATAATTAGTGTAAAAAATAATGATAGGTTAGCCGGGAACTCGACTTCATAGTGGATTAGACACCCGACACAACCCTGCAGTAAAATTAATTGGTCTAGTATAAAACATCATGCAGAATTCAGACACGTATATAGAGCATATGTGTGTGTATATATGTATACATATGTATAGGTGTATATATATATATATATATATATATATATATATATATATATATATATATATATATATATATATATATATATCAAGACCTGCCTAGACATGCACATTCACTAAGCACATTTAAAGAAACGTATACATCAAGCATATGCCAACCTCGATCATGACACAGACAACATAGACCTATGCATACACACACACACATTTGACAGTGACGAATAGGGCCCTCGGTGACTAATCCATGTCCTCGTGCACCATGTAATCTTTAAGTCAACCTACCAGGTGACGTCTAGCAGACGACCTAACACACCGTTCCAACCACGCAATGCAGACGTATGCTCTAAAGTCACCAGTATAAATAGCTGAACAGGGTGCAGGTGCTTATTGAGAAAATAATTATTTTCATACGTGTAATTAGCTGACCGGACTAATGAATATCTCCAGGTCGTTTAGAAATATTAATTACCTGTATTTAAAAAAGTAATCAGACGTTGATTAACTTAAAAACTTACCTGTGTGGACACACTGACTCAATGGGCTACAGCACACACCTGTCCGAGTTTGTAGTGACGGTGTACCTGCAATAAAATATGAAATTTATCTCAGTGGTTCTCAAAGCTGTGGTATGTGGGTCCGCGTGTTGGGGTGGGTAAAGGGAGGACAGTGGCCGGTCCGTAGGATGGGTATATTGATGAGATACCAGAGCAGTAGCGTAGCGAGGGGGGGGGGGGGGGGGCGGGGGGGGGGGGACATATGTCCCCGGGCGCCGACCTTAGGGGGGGGGCGCCAAATTGAAAGTTTGAGGGGGGTGCAAATGAAAAGTTCGAGGGGGGGGGGTGCAAATCGAAAGTTTGAGGGGGGTGGGGTGCAAATGAAAAGTTCGAGGGGGGGGGGGGTGCAAATCGAAAATTTGCTCCCAAGGGGGCGCCAAATTGAAAGTATGTCCCCGGGCGCCGGGAAGGGTCGCTACGCCTCTGTACCAGAGAAAACTTTCTTGCCTTCAGACTCCGGGTCTGTGGTCATATAAAACTATCAGACTACGATAGCAGTACGTATCTCATTTGATTAGCTGGGTGGGAGAGTGTGTTGTATGGGGTGGGGGGCATCCGGGATTGCAACTTTTACAACCGCAAATGACAAACTGTGCACTGTGTATCAACCTAAGCTTCTAAACCTAACGCTTAACCGTCCTCTTTAAGTCAAACAGTAGTAGTAGCACATGCCAACAACAGCACTATAGTTCACTGTGTAAGTTATAAATCAGTGGATTGTAAAATTCAGATTTTATAACGTTAACTAGTACCAACAGTATTACACTTCTCTGTGTAATTTATAAATCAATGGCTTGTACAGTACACATTCTACCAACGCTTTCTATTAATAACTACCTAAACACGACTACCAGCCCAATGGCAAGGTCGAGTCTATTAATAGTAACTCCTGACTAAAACCGCCTCTATAAAAAGTTGAGAACACCGCTTTAATTACCCGGCCCGATGATCGGGTATTCCCAGACGTAATGACACCTTTTGTTCGCCAAGACAGGTTGTCATTTAAAAGTCCAGTAATCTCAGGTATTACCTGATGACGTGTACCGTCCTGGTAAAAAATATAATTACTCACAGATTTATAAACAATAAGGCGGGCACTATGGGAAAATTTCGAGGTATATAATTTTAAAAGAAAAAAAGTTTGTTTTTTTCTTTATGGAAAAAAAATCAGTGTTAAAAAACATTGTTGTGTTTCTTGTCTCTATTAAACAAAATGAAACTGTGTCCACACAATTCACTGAACTGTTGAGAGGGGGTATTGAGAGGGGGTAGGGTATTTGGGATATTTTAAGAAAGATTGTTGTAGTGGGTAGGGGGGGGGGTTATAGCCACCTAGTTAGTAGCTACTAAAAATGATACTTCGTTTCATATTTTGTTTTCGTACAATTTAATCTTACATTCAATATCTAATATGTATAAATAACTAGATCTAGTACATTTTTAAAGTGCAAAAACGCAATTGTGTCTTACTAACGTACTACAACATCCCTTTGATTCCATTTGTAGATTCAGAAAAAAATGGTCGTTTAAAAATGTACAAAGCGTTTTTGTTGTAAAATCTTTCTTTTAAGATGCGAACAACATAATTTGCAAATGTTAACTTGTCAAACATTACAATTTAAGAAAAAAAATAGATTCGAAATTATGTATTTTAAAAAATTTAAATTTTAATGAAATTTAAACACGCGCAAAAAAAAAAAGGATTTTTTTTTTCCAAAGCGATGTAAAAAAAAATCGACAAATGATTTTTTTTTTAACATGCGACAAAAGAGTTTAAAAATATAAAGAATTTCTATTTTTTTAAAAGAAACTTCAATACCGTAATCTTGGCCAATCAGAATATTAGATCAAAGCGGTCTACAATTTACTGGGAGTCGACGGCTAGGAGGAAAATTGGTGGTTGCGAGAAGGTAGATTTAATCAGTTCAATACAGGCGTGTGTTTTACGTGCTTAGGACAACACACAACCACACAAACACATCGCTACACCACACACACCATAACATAACTATAACACACCTATACATCAACACATCGATACACCTACCCCATACAAAACTATAACAACGATACATCAACACGCCAATACTCCAACACACAATTATATAAGCACACAGCTACACCAAACACCACAATATGAACACACCATCACAGCCTGACACCATTACTCTGAACAACCACTACAACAACACACAACTACATAAACACATCGCTACACCACACACCATAACACAGCTGTAATACACCAAGACCTTACCACCTCGCTACACCTCAAACACCTACACCGTACACAATTACACAAAACACTACAACTCTAACAGACTAATTCATTAGCATGCCGCTACACTACACACAACTACGCCATGCAACATCACACACCACTAGCACAACGCTACATCAACACACCAGTACTTCAACAAGCAACTACATAAGCACACACGCTACATCAAACAACCACCACCATATGAACACATCATCACACCTTTTGCTCTAACCAACCACTACACCAACATACCACGCTCAACCCCCACACAACAAACTTGCACCACAACACACCAACAGACCAACATGTTTTCACAACAACAACCTGAACATCAACACCTTCACTCCAACAATCGCACACGCAGGCACACCTTTTACTCACGCACGCCACGCACTAAATCTACACCTACATGAGATCATACAGGTATACACACGCAGATACTCACGTACAATAAAATAACCAACGTACTTTTTATAAAGTTAACAATATTGTAACGACTTTTGTGCAGGGGCAGACTTCGAAGGTCCAAATATATGTCCACATAATTTACTCTGTCTGTCACCCGGATGTGCCCCCCCCCTACCCCACACACACCTCTCCACCTAGCACTAGTTTCATCGATTTAACTTTAAAATGAGCAGCCGACAAAAGTTTATAAACGCCCCGTCCATCTGAAGTGACCCCCGGGCTATTTAAACCTTCCTTTCACTCCGTGCCAGCCTAGCTACAGTCTAACCACATTGTCGCCATTGGAGCCATATTGAATGTACTCTCTCCCTCTCCCACTCTCATTCTCTCTCTTTCCTCAGACTGCTTCCGACTATCCAAATGCATCCATTTTACTATCATTATATCTTCCAAGCTCCCCCCCCCCTCAATACACACATCCTTTATACCCCAAATCTATCTGAATAAATCTTTCTATATTTATTCACATTCTTTCTAATTTCCCTTCTAACTCTTTGTCAGCCTATCCTAACGTTTATCCCTACATATCCTAAAAAAAAATCCGCCACCTCCCCCCACCGACCTACCATAAACTATGTCTCTAACGCCAGTCGCACCCTGCAGCACCCGGAGCCTCGAGGAAGCTCGGGACATGCTCAACACGTCGCTACATCCACGCGTCATCTCTCCTCGCGGTGTCTGTTGTCGTATCGTGGTATCAAATCCTCGCACGAGCTTAGCCCGAGTAAACAGAGATAATGTTGTCAAAATAGAGAATTTGAATAAATCATGCCGGGGTAGGATATTTTCTTTTTTTTTCTATTTTTTTTTTTAGAACAACCTCACCGCCGGTGTTCGATCAAATATGTACGGGACTAATCGATGCAGACAGGGGTGGAATGGGAGACGTACGCCATCACTCTCCGGGGACCGGCACAGACACGCTTTCTGGTGTAACAATAGCAAGGGTTTATTTACACAATTTTTGTTTCACATGTTCAAATCAAAACCTGGAACACTGGAAGCATATTTTAATAAAGAAATTGTTGATTTTGTTTTCAAACTATCAATAGTTATTTCTGAAGTTTTTTTTTAAGTAATATTATTATTATTATAAACAAACGGCAACTAATGTAAACGAGGATGCATTGAATTAATTTTAACATTAAGAAAAATATGAAATATAACGAGGTGGAGAATCTTCAAATATTTTGACATCTTCGATTATGGATTCGAAGGGAGGGGGTTTATTTTGTAAACGTACTGTTGAGTATTACTGAAGTCGTCTCGTTATTTTTAAACAGTACAATAAAAGCCGGTTCTAATGTCAAAATAGCCTAACAAGCCTTACTAACTCGGTATTGACTGGGCTGCATATTAGTTATTTCCCCTCACGGCTTGTAGCTAATTATTTCCCTTCACTTTCAGACTTGTAGCTTTATAAAATCCCTCGCCAGAGGCTCCAATTTTAAAAATCTTTTCAAGCGTGGTTTCGCACGAGGCGTGAAATTTTATTTTTTAATTTAGAAGAAAAAAAAAGTTCCGGGTACTAACGGAAAGCAGATTACGCAAGATGTTAGGCAATTAAAAAAACGTTAAAATATGTTTTTTAAATTTCTTCTAGCGCTATTTTTTTAAAATTCAGTTATCAGCTGTAATTAAATCTTAACGAGAACCAGATGTATCAATTAGAAAAGCTGCTGTTTTATAAAAAAAATGTATTTACATTAACCACGCAGACGATGAAATAAACAAGTTTTAACAGGAGCGGATTAGATTAGTTGTTAAGTAATCAAAAGCATACTGTGTGTTAGATTAGTCAGCGATGTTAGATATTGTTAATGCGAAAATGGTATATAGATATTTCAACAGGTACGTATGAATTAGCGCCATATAAAAATTTGGAATCTTCAACATCAATATTTAAAAAAAAAATGTTTAACAGACACGGTGTGGTTTAATTGCAATTTTAATCCTTGAAGATTAAAGAAGAGCATTTCTCTGACACTATACTCCGCCCGTAGCAGGTTAACAAAATCTTTCTCTTGTAACAAAGAGATGTAGTTACTTGTTGAAAGGGTTGTATGCTCAGGGTTCGAACAACATTTTGAAAATGAAATTCCAGACTTTTTCAAGACATTTTCCAGACTGCGTACAAACCCCGTATGCTGCTATTGATGTATTTTGAGGACCATGAGTTCAGTGTTAAGTATACAATACGCTTGAATGAAATACTACTAATGACAATAACTATTTAATTTATCGAACTAGAAGAGCTTCTTTTATTTGAGCTGGTAGAAAAGTAAAAAAAAAACAA